AACCTCCCGTCACTTCATCTCTCTTCGATCCAAATATTCTCAACACCCTGTTCTCAAACACACTCAGTCTATGTTCCTCCCTTAATGTCAGAGACCAAGTTTCACACCCATACAGAACCACAGGCAAAATTATAGTTCTGTATATTCTAATTTTTATGTTTTTTTGACAACATGACGAGAAGACAAAAGGTTCTGGGCTGAATGGTAGCAAGCATTACCCGAGTTCAATCGCCTCTTAATTTCCTCCTGAATCAGGTTTCGATCTGTTCTCGTTGTTCCCAAATATCTGAACTGTGCCACATTTTCAAAACATCTGATTCCTATCTTTATGTCATGATTTTACCCTGTAATGCTTTAATGGACAACAGCTAAAATTAATTAATAATCACAATTTCACTTTCTTCTGTGTATCTACTGTGCCTATGTTCTTTTTCGCAGGTTCACTTTAAATCTAGAAGAACTCAGGATCATAATGATGTCCGAATTTGATATTAACAAAATTAAAATGAACTGGCTGCCAAGAAAGCTGGAATTCAGTGTTCGATTTCCAGAAATACATACTCAGGCCAAGTACAATATGAAAGGTATACTGGGAAACCTGGTACCAGTTCATGGACACGGACCCGCCTCGTGAGTATTGCTATTCGCCTCCTTACATTAAATACAATATTTGGTTACGTTGGAATTTCATGTAAATACGTGTTGGGTATGTAACGCGACAAATAACTTCACGCCGTCTTGGATATAGCGAATTTATTCCACATTCGCTCTTACAGTTACACAATTTACAATTTCTCAATTACTGCCATCTGCAGTATCACAATTACTTCTCCTGCTGGAGTCACTGTCATTCACTCGAAACTACTCAACTTGTAGCTGCTGGACTTCAACTCATACTGAATACTAGTAACTGGCTCAATACTCAGTACTCCTGAATCGAAGTCCAAGTCCAAGTCACATTGCGACTGACGATCAGTCATCCAGTATGTCTTGATGTCAAGTTCTATCTGAGGCTCATGACCAGATATTTATTACTCTTTGACAGTTACGGTCTTGTTATTGTGGGGCGCCCTCTCTGACGAGAGGACGGGTCTGTCTTCTGTATATGCTGCTGGCGCTTGCCAGCGCAGTCTTTCTGAGGTCCGAGTCCCTTGGGACTCGGGACCATATTTTACTATCTCAGATTTGAGAATTCCCTTTTCGTCGCCTCCTACGACTCGCAGGGTCACGGTGGAGGTATTCTAGCCCGCCCCACAAGGGGACCACTAATCCCAGTACTACCCCTGAATAGTGTTCGCTGCTCCTTATTTAGGCTCGGCACGGACAACATAGAGAACACCTTGCTGCTCGGCAACAGATATCAGGTATTGCTGTCGGGTGTTTCTACCTATACATTGCCTACCAAGAGTCGCTGCACGGACTCGCCTGTTGCGTGACGTCACAGCCTAGCGGGGAGGGGTGTTTACAGAGGGTTGCGTAACGATGGAAGGAGTGGGGGTATGTGACGTCACTCGCGAGAACGCAGAGTTCACGTGACCCCTACTTCCTGTTGCGCCATCCACGTCACAATATATATAAATTCAGTTTGTACCTCAGAGGAAATTCATTACGTCTCCGCCACAAAGATAAACTAGTCAATGCTGTTTATAGAAACAATCACTGTTTATTGTGAGAACCATACGAAACACACAGATATACTCTGCATGCAGAATGCAGTGCTTTGGTTTGTTACAGTAGGAGGTACTTACAGAACTACTGGTACCTGAAGAGTGAAGTTTCAGCGCTAGCCATAATCCAGAGTCCAGATCCTATCCAGACAGAATACGACCAACATCATAAGTAGAGCGAATCAAAACTGGCCGGCCTGTCAATAAAACATATATCATTAGCTAGCACGAAAATCGAACAATCTGCAACGGCAGAACGAACTCCTTCAGAACAAACTACATTGCAGAACAATCCATTAGGTCAGTTATCATATTATAGCAAACAGATATTGACTACTGTATATATATTGAGATCCCCTCGTTCGTGTCTCCACCTTATCGTGGTGAGGGGGTGTGAGTATGCCAAGGACCCTGAGAGCTATACCAGCTGTAGCGTAGCTACTGGGAGGGCCTCCCTTGCTGGACAGGTCAAAGGATAGGCATCAGACGAAGAGACACACCAAAAACCAAAAACTGATGCGGGAAGCAGCGTCATCGGCAGCGACTTGAAGCACAGGGCAAATGATGCTCGAGATGGTTCAAGTTCGTATAGTAACAGGCGTGACCAGAGTGGTTTGAACGGCTGTTGTACTGCGATGTGGAAAGCAAATTGAAAAACTACCCCATTATCACCTTTCCTAGATAGTCTCTTTCCAAAAACAGAGATACCATGTATGCGAGATGTTTTCTCTGGAGACAAAACAAACCGGAAGGGAGGAGAGAAATGACCAGAACACGAGGAAGAAGACGTAAGAAGATGCTGGATGACTTAGGGACAGAAGAAAATATTTTTATTTGAAAGAGAAAGCTCGAGATCGCATTAAGTGGAGGAACTATTTTGGAAGAGACTGTGGCCCTGTCGTCTGACAGATTACTGATGAATGAATATATTATAATATAAGGGATGGAAGCCGAATGGCGGAGCCAGGAGAAAAGGCCGTTGCTAGGCAACGGCCGGTAAATACATTTCCGCGGCAACAGGCACGTCATCAGGTGTTAGGCATCGCACAGTAAACACGCTCCCACGTCATGAAACAAGATGATCATTGCTAAGCAACGAATAAACATACAATGATAGAGGAACCAATGGAGGTGGGAGTTGTGGCAGGAACAGAGCGGTTGCACGACTCCAAGAGTCGTGAGACAGTAAAATACGATGAGTCCCGTGGAACTCCGAACCAAGAATCACTGTTTTGGCGAGAGCCAACAGCAATTTACCAGAACAGACCAGTTAACCAGTTGTGGGTGGTCTGAAGGCTCTCAGAGCCCTCAGACAGTATGTAATATATGGCCATCAGACCCGTTGGACTCGGAACCAAGAATCACTGTGCTGGCGAGGACCAGCATCAATTCAGCCGTCAGTGAGTCGTCACTCGGGTCCTGACAAAGACAACTCCAAAAGTCGTGAGACAGTAAAATATGGCCATGAATTCCGCGGGACTCGGAACCAAGAATGACTGTGCTGGCGGGGACAAACAGTAATTTACCTTTTCGTCCACTGGATATGGTGTTTTCTACAAGGCCCGTGCCGTGATAAAGGGTGCACAGAGCCCATAGCAATCTGGCTCATAGATAGCGGTAAGGTTGTCAGCCCTACGCGCTGGCCGCCCTTTACCCCCAAGAATATTCAAAGAATATTCCTGGTACATTTCTATTAGAGGCTGAGTCGACCCCAGGGCCATAGCGCGGCTGGAAGGTTTAGGTCAATTGAAAAAATCCAGTGACCTCTTAGGGATTTGAACCCGCGACCTTCCGGCTTGTAGCAAAACATGTAGTAGTTATTAAATAAAACCAATGTAAACAATTAGATTTATTTTAATGTTGTGTTGACGGCCAGAATACCACAAATAAATTTATGAACTTTTTAATGTGGGAACATTGTACTTTGGGCAGTCAGATTTTTGGATGTGGTGAAGTTTAGTACTCTAACTCCGTTATCATCACTAATTTCGTGTAAACTCTCATTCCCAGTTGGTGGTTTGAAAATGTTTTCTCTACTTACTTCGGCAATGATATATCCTAACAAATATTTTCATATGGTATTTATGGAATTTATCGAATAATAATAACAATAATAATAATATTAATAATAATAATAATTTGTTATTTATTTACAATTTCAAGCAATAACAAAAATTTTCGATCGACTAGAATTAGAATGTAAGATCATTTGTGCTGATCCATAGACTAAACTACATATCAGTGTTGGATGATAAATTTACATTTCCTAAACAGTGTATTATCCATATAAAGTTTGTAGGACTTGAAGTCTGTAAAATAGTAGACTTTATTAATTCTGTCTGGAACTCCAGTGTCAGTATATGGCTATTGTAAGTTTACTTCTCACCACACCGGCTTAAGAACCAAATATTTAATATAGAAATAAGATTTGAAGAATGTATTTTAATAAAATTAAGGTCAGCTTTGTGATTCCACATGAGAGAAAAAGAATAAGTTATCACTGATAATACAAAATGTCTTACGCTGTCACAGGACACGGTCCAATGAGAGGCTCTTGTGAACATAATAATGAATTGTCCAGTTCCTTTAAGAGTGAGGAATTTCGTGACCAGTTTATGGACGGGGCTTCTCATGTAGCATTCTCTACAGAGTTGTTTCTCAGAGTCATAAATGACCAGATGTGGGATGTTATAAACTGTCACTGAAATCTTTGGAATTATTTTTATCTCCACATTCTTAATAAACCCAAAATTTTTATAAGTTTAAATGTGGGCACGACAATTTTTTTCTTCTGAATCACTATCCTTTTAGCAATATAAATGGCTTTTTCATGAATGTTTTCTCCGATAAACAGAATATCAGCCATCAACGTGAACTTGACTGGCATGGTGGATCTCGGAATACATAATAATTCTCTGCACATCAGGAAGTTAACTCTTAACTATTTCATTGAAGCATTTCGGGTAAGTACGGATAATATATTTTTATTCTATTATAATTCATAACTCATTATGGTAGCAGTATTACAAGTTGTAGCAGTAGCAGTCCATACAGATGTATAGGCCCTATCATTAGCAGTAGCAATAGCAGTAATAATACATATCGTAGAACAGAACAAAATAGTAAGTGGGCAAACGAGCACCACAACTAATATTTAGTGCGCTTCCCTGTCAGCAATCGTGCATCCTGACTAAATTGTGTTAATGTGCTGATTGAGACTTTATGGAAGTCACTATGGTTTAGTAAATATGCTCCTAGCTGATAGTTCCTGAGTCACACAAGGGATCCACAATAACACAACACATATAAAGCCATTCCATTATTTTTTCCTACATTTGTTACTACAAGGGATATCATCAAGTGATGCCAGTTTTATTGGTGTTTATAAATGAGAGGGAACTTTAGCTCTTCTGCAACAAATGTTAGCTGTTTCTTATTGAGCCACAGTACTTCCCCAACTTCTGCTGATAGCAGTGCCATGGTAGCGTTAAATTCTCCCTTTACTTTTAATTTAGCACATCTTGAAGATGTGTGTGGGGTATTCAAGCAAGCCCCATGCATAATTAACATTGGTATTTTATGTAAGTGAGTGGGCAGCTTCACCTTCCGGCTCCAAGTACCCTCTGGATAGGAGGCTGAATAAGTCCTTGAAGTTGATGTGATAGCTAAGAATAGAACCACGGTGGTCAGCCACCTGCTCAATGCGTAGTAATATTGGATGTCATTCAATTGTTGTGGTGACAGCATATACTTTTGTGTTAACATAATTGAACATTTTGTCCCACATTGGAATTCTCCTTCCCTTACTTTCGGGAAGAAAGTACAATGTTCAACACACTGTAATTTCTGCGTTACTTTATACCACTGGACTTAGAGGCTTTAAAAATGGGATCTATTTTCTAAATTGAGGTGCATCATACGATGGATACTGTGTGAACCATCATCATACGAGTCTCTACAGATGCACATTTTGTGACCTGACAGATGGCAGTCTCACAAAACAAGTTAGGCTAATTACTCATAAAATGTTATAAAATGAAGTACAGCGAAGTCTATAGGACCTATAGGTACACATTTGTTTAATGCATTTCCCATTCTGTGTGGTCTAAGCACACAAGATGCTTCTTTGACATTTCCCATTTCAGCATCGCTTTACAATGCTCCATTAGATAGCTCCACAAAAACTAGGAGGAACTGAAATATTTTTCCAGTTATTTAACAATGCCTACAGTATAGATACTATACTCGTATAGCGTCAATCTGTGAGATGACTGATGAATCAAAAAGGGTCTGGAAGCAAGCGGTCATGACCTATCTGAAGCAATATCCTGGCATTTGCCTGGAGGAACTGAGTAAAACCGTGAAAGCCTAATTCAGATGGAAACTGAGTGGGACACATTACCTTTGGTCTACATTAATAACAATTTATTGGGTGAAAACATGAATACCATAGAGAGAAATATTCTATTAGATGGAATTAGATGGGTGATACCTAAGAAATAAATCTGCGGAGAAAACTAAGGAAGTTATATGTTGATGTTACATCACCAGAATACAGAGAAAAATCATAATGTAAATACATCTAATAAATTCTTCTGAAGATTCTAATAATGGGAAAAGAATGTAACAAATAAAAAAATTGCATTCATGAAGGTGTTAGGGGAGATCTAATGTGATAAATGCTTGCTATCATTTTGTTCATAATCTTTTATCTTCCCAACTCCTTTCTAGATACCTTGAGGATTAAATTATAGACGACCATAATTTTACCTCTTCATTTACATATATGAATTTGAAAACTTGTCTCACGCTAAAGGAAGGGTGTTGAGAACAATTTGCCAGGCAATATCTATGGAAGCAAAAGAGCTAAAGTAACACAACGATGGAGAAAAATGAACAAAGCTTAATAAATTGTACTCTTTGCCAAATATTACTAGAATGATGAAATAAAGGTGGAAGAGACAAACAAGCATGTAGAACATGTCGCGCTGGAGATACAAATTTTAGTAAAAAAAATAGGGCGAAGAGATCTTAGAGATAAATTAGAGGATAATGCAATTTATTGTCATCAATTTTAAAGGAACTGGGTGTAGACTGGATTCAAATGAATCAGGATATGGTCCTTTGATTACTTCTTGTCAGTATGTTATGAACCTGCAGGTTCCATAAAAGGTGGAATATTTCTTGATCACTTAAGCAGCTGTCAGTGTCTCAAAATAAATGTCCCAGGCAATTGGTTATACATGACAACTGCCAATGCATTCAAAACTTCTATCACTGTAAAAATAAATATTGATTTTAGGAGTATTACTGACCATTTTGGCTATGTTCAATATTCACATAATTGTTAACTTCCAACTTCATGACAATGAAAACTGAGGAAAAGAGAATATTGTAATCATACTTATATTAGTTTAATCTGTGTAATAATAATAATGGAATAATAAAAAATATACATATCAGAATGTAGTGAACTTATGTGTAATCCAGAATGTGATAACTTCAATACAATCAAATATACACAAATTACAATAGTAACACTTTTACTGACATCTTTAAATCACACTATAAATGTTCTACAAGTTCAGATTCATTATATGAATTAAGCCATAAGGCATCTCTTCTAAATTAACAATATTTTATACTTAAATTTCCACCACAAAATATTCTTACTCATTCTCTGTGTAAATGTACAGGATGAGGACTGCCTCATGAGGAGTCTGTACCTCTGATTCTCTTTCTGCATGCTTCAATTCTAGATGGATCTTAACTTTACATTATTTTATATAATGTACAAATTTTTGTACATAGTCCTTAGTACACTGCATTGTATATTACAACAACCCTTCTGTAACCCCTAGTCACTGCACAGTATGAACATGGCACTAATATATGAACACTTATAGAGTACAGATACTGTATATTTGGATTTCTAATCCTTTCCATTTTCTTCACCATTAGTTCTAACTGGAGCAATTTCCAATTTTTGCACATATCTCTCCAATTTTACTTTACTTTAAACAATTATCAAAAAACTAAAATTCTATTTCTAGACATTTTTAGGTGAGTCAATGGTAAAATGTCTCCAGTTTCTTTTAGAGTTAATAAATACCCTAAGAGGAATTAACCCAGCAACGTTACTGTAACCCTCAACACACCATACTTGATGAGTCTGTTAAATGACTTGATAAATGAAATGTACAGATGGACAAACTTACACACTGTACTCACTGTGCATTCACTTTATTCACCCCCATGCATAAGACAGAAGAAAATAAAGGATATCATCTCACACAACAAAATATCCTTTTACACCTCATCTATCAATTTTCATGTTTCAGATCAACATGACGAATCTGATGGGTGGTGGAAGAATTAGTGAACTTATGAATATGGTGTTGAGTCAAGAGGGCACCGAGATCCTGGAACTAGTGAGGACAGATGTGACATATGTCAGTACAAATTGGTTACACATTGTTGCAAATGATGTACTACAGAAAATGAGTATAAGCTTCAGTGGGCTGTTAGACTTTATAAAAAGTGCTGGAACAAAAAAGGTTAAGGAAATTTTTAATTTATATCCTTTCAAAAGTGAAGCTAAATCTTGTACATAGTACTAAAAGATAAATTTTTTAATACTTCTGACTATTTCAGTAAATGGAATCTAATGTCTAGAGTTCAATGTAATGCTAATTATTTCGAGTTTTGCCATTTTATTCACCAGTATTCAGTCAATCTGAACTTCAAGAGAGTTGTTCCAGCTATAGTGGTAGTGGGAATCAAACAGTATACTCCTTCTTCTTAGTTACAGCTAATACATACTGATTATACTATCAATGTTAATAAATATTTGGGAATTATCATCCATAAAATGAAATTGTTAGAGCAGACATTTTCACTTGTGTTTCATGCACACACTGCCATCTAGTTACTGTTATATATTAAACTTCTTGTCATTACTAAGATAATGACTGCAATATGTGTTACTGAATGGTACTGAGGTGACTTTATCTCTTCATTATACATACCGGTGTGTGCATATATATGCTTTGATTGCAATGTTTAGCATTGAATTGAAAGAAGAATTATAAGTGCTTTGGAAGTGACTGTGGCCTAGTTTAAGATATTTCCCCAGGATTTATCTGGAGAGGCAGAAGAAAATCATGAAAACCTGTCAGGATAGCCAGCCTCTAGACTATATTCAGACCTGATACAGCCAAAATGTAAAGAAGAAGTGTTGACCATTAAATCGCAAATTATGAGAAAGAGATTTTAAACAACTCGCTGAAATCATGTCCTTGCATTCGGTCATTTGTCATACTTACCACATGAGATGTATGCTAACTGCAGCAGTAGAAAGGGTTTACAAAACTAAGATAATATTATTATGCACACCTGTATAGTTCTTAAGCCTATAACCATGAACGATAATAAAAGCATTCTGTAGACAATCAATTTATTACCCTTTCATGAATTAAACTACAATTAAATACTTCCCGTTGATAAGGACTCAGAAGTATAAAACGAATTCTCAGTAGCTGCATACAAGGATACATAACATAAATAACAATTAAAATATATGTAAGAAACTAATGACTGCAAATTAAAATACAAAGCTATGATTACTGGGATACCCCACGGGTTTGCACTTAGCCCCAGTCCTTGTCCTCCTCTACAAATCATAGACTGTTATTCCCTACATAGTTTACTCTTATATCCTGCAAATGAAGGCAGATGAGCCTCCAAAATGTTAGGAAGTATCTACCAGACTACATAACCTCACATCCCACAAGACAGTAATATTCATAGATAAACTGAATTTATAACCATTAATTTAAAAATTCCATATTGTTCAGACTGGTTCTGAGGCCCACCCAGCCTCCTACATAACGAGTACCAGGGACTCTTTCTCTGGGGGCAAAATTGCTGGGATGTGGTCCTGGCCACTCACCTCCAACTAGTGCTGAGGTAACGAATGCGTGGATTTACACAGCCATTCCCCCATACACCTTCATGGCACAGTATTTAATTCGTTAAGCACTGGGACAAATTTACCTTTATAACTAAAATATATCCCTATTCAGGTGTGCCAAATTATACGGAATGAAAATTGTACTTGTTCATCGCCAGAATTAAATTTTGTCTTAACCACAGACAAACAAACAAAAAATTTAACACACTGGGCACTTCTTTAGGACTACACCCTCTCAAGTGGAGAACGTAACAGTGAGCGTATTTAAAAATATTTTTCTTTAAGATGATTGCCAGTATTTACACAGAACTATGCGCCTATGTAAATTTTAATTCTTTTAGCTTTACTGTCTTTGGTACCTTGAATTCCTTGACTTGTTCTCGGTGTATCAAACTTACTGTCCATCAAATGGTTTCGCAATCAGCTGCACCCTAGATGCATGCATTACTACCTAACCCTAACATCCACTGCACTGTATCACCTAATTTCCTGGAATTACTGTTCTACTCGACATACACAGAGATCAGTACCAAAGGGAATGATTCAGGTTTCTTTATTCTGGATTATCAATGACCTCAATATTTTTTCCTATTGATATTTTGCGTAAACTTTATCACATACCATACGTGTGCAGGATTGTGCTTGTATGCCAAAATACTTTGTTTTTGGATGCTATGGCGAACCTCATGCACTGAGGGCCTTACAATTATGTGTCGAAACAAAAAAAAATCTACCGAGACCATTTTCGGTCCATCATCATCCATGACATAGATCCTGCCATACGCTGACCTGTTTACGCTTCTGCATTATCGTTTTTGCTGCATTGGCAGATGAAAGTTCAGCTTTGTGCCTCACTTCTTTGATGAGAAACGGTTCGATTGCAAGTATGTAACCCAGTTGGGAAGCTTTCTATTTCGACAGGAGAGGAGCATTATTCAGAAACAAATCTTCCGGGCCTGCCTGCAATCCATGGACTCTTTCGTTTAGGTGGTACTAGGTCGAGGTGTCACCAGGGTAACTGGAAACCGCAACGCAACTGCGATTTCCGAGAATTGTTATCAGCCTGAGTTGAACACATGTTATTGAATGGAGCAGCGCAAATTGAGGAAACGGCAAGGCAACTCGCGGAAAGACTCAGAAACTCATTTTCCAGGCAACGGAGCATGCCAGTTTTCTCTCAGTTGCGTTGCCTCATGGTTTCCTAGTATCAACTGTTCTGTAACGCGCTTCAGTGATTCGTTTGTTTGTTAAGGTGGCACGAAAGGTTGCCGAAGATGCTAATTTTAATTTTTTTTGCAGTTAATTGAGCAAGAGCCTGGTATATATGACAAACGCCACTCAGATTGTGCTAGGCGGGTCAAAATATATTTGGCTGGGGAAAGAATTTCTCATGAGAGGAAGGAGTCTGGATCCAGGTTAAACAATATAAGCGCTTCAGTTTAAATTGTCATAGAAGAACGGACGCACCCAATATTTTCTTTTCCTAATATTGCATTCAAGCATCCTGTTGCATTAATACATCATTTATTTCACATATAGTTCCGTCTTAAAAATAAAACTTATTATATAGCCAGCCTTCTTCTTCCACATTACATGGTTCGACTGTATACGGCCATCTTTAGGTGTCTTCTATCTTGCTGAAACTGTTGCACCGCATGTCAAAATTTCGTATCGCGTGTGAACGTGATATTTCCTAATTAAAATAAATTGACATTAATTTAAACAAATGAATTAACACCCCGATATTTTCATGCGGTCGTCGTCCTCTCTTCTCATGCCGTCTCAACTACCACCATATTATGATAGGATCAGTATTATTATCTACCATTGCAGAAGGTAAGTGCACGAAAATAAAAAATACAATTATACATTACGTTGGACGAACATGCCCACTTAAGATCCTTAAAATAATGTGAGAAACTAATCAATCATAACTTTCTTCAGAGTGCGTCTGCTAATCTGGAAACCAGTTCTTTGCTTGAAATCGATGACTTTCCTCGGAAATTGCGGTTGCCAGTTTCCTTGGTGTGACCTCCGCCTTATATTCCTAACATGTCAGCACCGTCGGCACTATGACAACTTCGCTTCGAACAAAGTTACACTAGATCCGAGTGACAGAATCATAGCGCTGATAGTCGGTTAATCCGCGGATAATACTCTCCACAGTTCATGTTCATGTTCATTTATTTCAAATTCAAGCAGATCCAGACAGGTTGAGAATTATATTTACAAACCACTGGCTATAGAATGAGTCACATATCAGAACAAATGTTCCAATTAATCATTGGAACAAGTATTGGCAACATAATGTAAAATATACATAACACAGACATAGAACATAAATGAATTTGATTACAAAAAAAAAATGAATGCAAATGAAGAACGTATTAACCATTCATACAACAAAATTCCTCCAGTTTGTAAAAACAGTGCAACACCAGATACCTTCTTAAGTAACTCTTAAAAATTTTAGGCATCTGTATAAGCTCTTTTAATTCAAGTGGTAATTTATTAAAAATTTTAATACCAGTGTAGTAAACACCATCTTGATACGATGATAGAGAGGAAGTAGGAAAATACAAATTTTCACAATGTCTTGTCTGTATATTATGCCTATCGTAAGTAGTTAACAAAGATTTCTTTAGAACAAGCAACAGGATTAAAAAAAACACAAGTATATTGACATTTCAATGGTAAAATCTCTGTCTAAAAAGATCCCTACATTAGGTCCTACTTCCATATCCTGTCATTAAACGAACAACTCTTTTTTGTAACATAAAAAGTTTTTTTGATATTGGTAGATTGACCCCAGAATGTAATAAAAGTAAAGTAAATCTATCCGTGTAACAGGCCGTGAAGGCCCATAGGGTTGTGAGACGTTGAGGGCCCCACGTTATCTAGACAATTGGCTCAGAGATGGTGGTAAGTTTGTCAGCCTTACGCGCCGGCCGCGCTTTACTCCCCATGAAAAGTATTTAATTAATTCCTGGTACTCATTTCTGTTGGAGGCTGAGTCGACCCCAGGGCCATAGTGCGGCCGGAAGGATTAGGTCAATTGCAAAAAATCAAATGACCTCATCGTAACTTGAACCCGCGACCTTCCGCCTGGTAGCATAGTGCCCCCCTAAGAAAGAAAACCATAAGATAATATAGAATGAGATAAGGAGTAATAAATCATTACCAATGATAAAAGCGACATATAAGGTTTGACTGATCTGATCATATAACAAACTCTGGTTAATTTGTTTAAAACATTGTCAATATGCAAATTCCAGGAAAATGTGTTATCCTTTACCAGACCAAGAAATTTAAAGTGAGAAACCTCAGAGATTACATTATTATTACAAACAAGTAATGTCTCAGTCAATACAGATTTTTTTGTCTTAAATTGCATACAATATGGCTTTAAAAAATTGATAGATAATAAATTTGATTTGAACCAATTATAAACTATTTGAAGATTTGCACTTTTTCGCTTAGTGGGGGGTGGAGTTCAGCTGGGTCCATTCGGCACGGCGGCCACTGATTGGCTTATTGTACCTGCCCCGGGTAATTATGATGATGGAGAATTTGGTGGAATGAAGATTGGCAGGGGAAACCGAAGTACTCGGAGAAACCCCGCCCCAGCGCCACTTTGTCCACCACAAATCCCACTTAAGCAGATCCGGAATCGAACCCGGGCCGCTAGTTTAGTACCTAGAATATCAAGTTTTTTATCCGTAACTATAAAACTAGTATCGTCGGCAAAAAGAATGGGCGTAGCTGATCCACTAATGGCTAAGGGGGAGATCATTGATATACAGTAAAAACAACAAAGGTTCCAGTACAGAGCTCTGGGGAACAACATGTCGAATTTCAGACCAGTTCGATACTAAATTATAGTGAGTTGAGTTGGATCTCAAGTTGAACACCATGTGATCAAAATTTATCGGAGTAAACAAGCACAGTAAATGTCAACAGTACTTCCTTATAGTACCTCTGGGACCCTCATGAGCAAAGACGACAGTACGTATCAATATTGGACGTGAGGCCGCGCCATAACTAAAGCGGTTAGTCGCTGGCTTTCCACCACGACGGCCCGGGTTCGATCCCGGGTCTGGTCAAGTGGGATTTGTGGTGGACAAAGTGGCCCCGGGGCAGGTTTTCTCCGAGTACTTCGGTTTTCCTTGCCAATCTTCATTCCACCAATTACTCCAAAATCACTCTCATCTATCATCTGGGGCTGGTACAATAAGGCAGAAGTGGCCGCAGTACGAGTACAAGGGACTTAGTCCCACACCATTAGCAATAAAAAAAAGAAATTGGACGTGTAGTTTACAATGGTAACTGCTGTTTGGAAAAAGAAAGTTGCTAAGTTGGCAGGCTTGAAATAATCATGGAGGGAAGAGTGAACAGATGTGAGGGAGATGATCCTTTCAAGGACTTGAAAATCGAAAATTGGGAGATTTTGGAAGACATCAGTGAGAGGCAGCTCTGTACGAAGTGTAATAAATCGAGAAAATATTTTTGTTATAATTGTTGTATCCCAGTACAAAATTTACAAGGTCACGTTCCTAAAGTTAAGGTTAGAGTTGTTTTGTTTTGGAGTTTGAATTGTGAAAAATCTAGCATCTTGTGTTGCAAGGTATTTACGATATTGTTCTATTACAGTTACCCATTACGATAGACATTATTAAACATTCACGGGAAATAGATGGGAAGAGTACTGCAATCCATGCTGCAGTTCTTGCACCGGATGATGTCAACATCTACACCTATCCATGTATACCAGATTATGGATCAGATGAGAGGGTAATTTGTCAGCATTTTAGCATTTAATTCACATCATTTGTATACGGGTTTTACGTTTACTTATTTGGCCACCGTGTAGTTGGCGTAAAACAGTTGAAAAGGTAAGGTAAAGTTCCTGTGCTTAACATATTAAACATTGCGCCATGAAGACGTATGGGGGAGTGAATATGTAGATCAACGTATTCGTGACCTCGGAGCTAGTTGGAGGTTAGTGGTCAGCTCCCCCCCCCCATCCCCCTCTTTACCCACTGGATAGGAGGCTGGGTGGCCCCCAGAACCGGTCTGGATGACATTGAGAGAAAAATCTTGCCCCTACCGTGACTTTAACCCTGACCCCTTCGCCATCTTGCCCGTATACCGACTCCACAGTTGAAAAGGTACTGAGAATTTATTAGTATTAATTTCTAAAATGTAAGAGAAACTCAAACTAAGGTAGTTAATCCAGATGTGAATTTTTGCTTGCCAGCTGATCCTTGTCATGTGAAACCATGATCACTTCAATTCTAGTCCTGTCATATATAATATTATTCTTGACATGTCCAATTGTATTCAATTCACTTCAATTATGGATGAAAATAAAGTTGAAAGTTAATCATTATCTTAATTTCAACACTGCATGACAGTACATTAAGTAACTAAGGATAAATTAATAAGTAATAAATATTTTGTTGAAAGCTTCAGATTAGTTATAATTTAATCAAATATATGGTGTTTTTGTTAATATTTCTTAAAGCCAAAAGGTCAGCCATTTTATATAACTTTGATAAAATGTTGCTTTGTTTTTAGGTAGTGTTGGTTTTCCCTGGAAAAGATGCTATAACTGTGGAAAATCTGTTTGATTCACAGTGGTAAGTTTAAATAAAAGTTACCAAGCAGTCAGGATTCAGGAAGATCTAAAGACCATAATTGCACCATTCTCCTTATGCCACTGGCAGCTTTGTATTTTGAACTGTGGCTTCCTTGCTGCATTCTTCAGTCCAGAAGCAAGAAGAAAGGACTCCTTTCCCAAGGATAAAGTTTGTTTCTCTAAGTTCTCTCCCCCTCATCCAGCAGCATATTTCATGATTCCATCTGGATAGCTTCAGTATATGCATTGAAGCCAATCACTTCTGTCAGAACACGGTACAAGTTCAAAAGTCTTCTGTAACAGCGAGCATTCGCGTTACTCAGAACATCTGAATTCCTAACTGTATTAATCTTTTCACCAGCATACAATGTGATCAGAACATGGAGTACAAGTTTATCTTCATATAGGCTGCAATTCAGACTGTATTATGCTATTGTTCTTGTGTACCTGGTTAACTTTTTTTTTGTATCTCCATGTATTTGTACAATCAGTCCATTATGGGCTATAAGTACATCTTATGTGAAACTTAATCTATAGCTTAAATACTAAGTGAGAACATGTCGGGGAGAGTAATGCTCCAGTGAGCATTCTCTACGGATCTATTTCGGGTGTGACTTTGTTATTTTGTGTATTGCATTTATATGAAGCGCGTCGTTAGGTCGTTTGGTTTATGCCTTTTCAGTCTTCTGGGCTCATCTGCATCGTTTAGTAGTGTGGTTGCCAGTTCATTTGGATGTGCCATTATCTTGTGTTTGTATTTACGGCTGATGTTTGTGGTATCTTTCCGTACTGTGGATATGCCTAAATTGGCGTGTGGTAGTCTGTTTGGGATGTACCACGGTGCATTGACTATAGCGCGAAGTACTTTGTTTTGAAACCTCTGTAACATTTCTATATTGGATGTACTTGCAGTTCCCCATAATGGTGCGCCGTAAGTCCAAATAGGCTTCAGTATTGTCTTGTAAACTAGGAGTTTATTTTCGGTAGACAGTTCTGACTTCCTGCCAATTAGCCAATGCATCTGACTAAATCTGATGTCCAGTTGTTTTCTTTTGGCGAGAATATGTGTGCGCCAGGTCAACCGCCGGTCCAGGTGAAGACGTAGGTATTTGATGGATTCCTCTTGTGGTATGCGTGTTCCGTTTAATAGTACCGGAGGGCAGGTTCCGTGTCTCAGAGCGAAGGTGATGTGCATGGATTTGGTTTTGTTGGCCTTAATTCTCCATCGTTGTAGCCATTCTTCGAATTGGTCTAGGTGTGTTTCCAGTATCTGGGATGCTTCAGTAGGGTTCTCGTGAGACGTTAGCATTGTTGTGTCATTGGCATAGGTGGCAAGCATTGTTTGTCTGGTTTCTGGCAAGTCAGCCGTATATATGGAATATAACATAGGCCCTAGGATACTGCCCTGCGGAACTCTGGATAAGACAAGGTATAAGTCAGTATAGGTTTCGTCGTATCTGGTTAACTGAATAATAAAGTGTAGTTACCAGTAAGTTTGGTCTAAGGAAACCCAGAAAAAAAACTACATATGTCTATATGTTATTAAAACTCAGTCATTGTGACATAGATTGCTGTCATGCTTGATTGGCAGAATAATTTCTGGAGCAAACTGTATATTAAACAGCACACTTGCACTGTGAGTGTTGCAGTTCACTACAGTTACTGCACTGTAATTATCCTGAGAGTGTGGATTTATTACACTGTCCCAATTTACAATCCAAGGAGCATAGTAAACTGAGGTTAAAATACAATTATTGAGTTCTTGGACAATTATCCATCATTATGTCTTTTTACTTAAAACAACATTTCAGAGACACAACTATCTCACATAATCACATAATTTTGATAGTACTTGATTTTATAGACACTGGTTATGAAATAATGCATGGCTATAGGTGCTACACTTCATGCGTGTGGAGTTTCTTAATGTTTGTCTTAACTCACACTGATGGTTTATGTTGTGTCAGTGTTGGTGTCTGGTGATAGGGATTAGCACTATGCACTGGGCCCATCTGAGAAGACTTTCACCTGAAGATGGATACAGAATCCAGTCTTTGAAATGTTGTGTTTTAAATAAAAGAATGGGGGATGGATGTCCAGAAACTCAGTAATTGTATTATCACATGATGGAGTGATTATACATAGGGTCTGGATTGGTAATCAGATTCACTGAACTCTTACAACTCACAACTACAAGTAAGGAGTATGCTCTCATTTTCTTACACACTTCACCAATCACTATAGGACACACTAGATCTCAGTCAGTTATGGTCTTCACTAGCTGTGGCTTGGTAGTGGCAGACATTCCCCTTCCTCTGGGTTCCCCAAACTGTCCCTGGCCACAGCAACTTAACCCCAGCAGTTATCTAACTGCCACTGGTCAGTTGGTTAAACTGCTGGTGGCCTTTGCCAGCACAGTCATTCCTGCCTTCAGTCTCCTTGAGATCCATGACCAAGATTTTTTTATTCTCTTCTTGACATGTACATATCTTGAAATGGGGCCTACTCTTTGAAGAAGTAGGGGTCATTCTTTCTATATAGGTGCTATGTCTGTTGCACCATAGTTTCAGCATGAGTGTATCCACCACAGTTTTAAATGCAATTCCACAAAAGGAGTACAGTGACTGTTTTCGAAAACTTTTCAATCAATTCCAGCTATGTATTGATTTAGGAGACTATTTTGAATAAAGAGAGTGAAATTTTGAAAATAATTCATGTCTTATATTTTTAATGAACACAGTCCTAACAGAACCTGGACATACTGTGTATGTAGCTACTCTGAAACTGAGTTAGTCAGCTGAATGGTCATGAGCTTGATTGCCGCCAAGTTTAAGCCTCATATACTTCCTATGCCTGGCTTCTCCTTGTCCAGCACCATGTACCTTTGGATTTACATGATTTAGGATTACTTCTGCCTTTGTCCTGCATAATTTAGTTATAAAGTCATACACATAAGGAATTTTGAAAGCCACACGCAATTCTCGAACTGGTATGCACCTGTCAAGATTTCCAGTAGCGCAGAGGCACTCTTGCAGGTGCTGCAGTTTCAAGAGGTGTGTGTCCGCTGTATACTCCCAGGTGGAACAGGCATAAGTCATAACTGACCTAATCAGAGCTTTGTAAAGCATAAATTTAATATTTATATTTAAACACCCACTTTTGAATAGAGAACGTTCGTGCTTAAGGCCTTGGTTAGTCCTTTCAGTAAGGTGTCTCCATGTCATCATCCTGTTGAAAGTGACGTCAAGATATGTTACATTATTTATGAAAGGAATGCCTCATCCAGTTAGTTGTAGCATGTTGTCAGGGACTATGCTTTCTGGAGAAATGGATCACCTGAGTTTTCTCTTCATTAATCTTTTATATTTTAGCGCTCACACCATGAATTCACTGCAGTAAGGCCACACTGCAGTTTGCAGAGAACATGATGGTCTTGTATGTTGCATAAATACAGGTATCGTCCGCGAACAGAGCAAAATAAATTCCAGGTGCTGCAGGGGCATCATTTATATATAGACTGCACAGTATTGGGGCAAAGACAGTATGAACCAATGCTGATATTTTTCTTGGCACAGAAAATTTGCTTTCTACCAGGAATTTAAATTTTTTGTCAGTGATGAAAGAAGCAAGTATATTAATGAGATTTGTCAAAAATTCTGACAATTTATATAGCAGGCCAGAGTGCCACATTGTGCTGAAGGCTTTCGCAATATCCAAGAAACAAAGCTGCCATCAACATATCACTATTGAAGTTTAGGGCAATGTGATCCGCCAGCCTCACACACTGAAGTGACATACTGTGATCTGCTCAAACGCCAAACTGACTTGCATTTAGTAAGTTTCTCTCCTTGGTGTGTTTTTGGATTATTCATAAAATCAGTTTCTCAAATAGGCTAACAGGTCCTGCTTATAACATCTTGGCAAGGACCATGCAGAAGACACCGTTCCTCTCTTGCATTGCAATTGTTGCTTAGCAAAAGCATGATGTATTCCACTGTTCCCACTGGCATGGACTGTGCAGACAACACCATTCCTCTGTTGTTTATGGAATGCTGCTTAGTAGTGGCCAGCTGTTATAACCCCACAATTCTTGTTTTGAGTGAATATACCATAGTATTAATACAAGTATACTGTCGTCACTAGGTTAAAATGCTGATTCTTGTGTCAAAGATCCTATGTCTGAGGAGAGCTTAATGAGTGGAGAATTTTTCATGCCTTTCTCGTCCCTCACCTCAATGTTGGTTTGAGTTCACACTAACTGTAGACTGCATCTAGAGCAATCATCATCTTCATCCACTGTGAAACTAAAAAGTTAAAAAGACATCACACCCACAGGAATTATCAGTAGATCCCTTTAATGTTTATTTCAGGGATATGCGAGTTGGTAGTGCTGAACCAAGAGCCAAGAAATTAAATATAGGTACAAAATTCCCAGTTACTAAGGCTGTATTTATTGACAGCACATGGAACCAAAGCCGTGGCATCTACAAAGATCAGCGTGTGAGAGGTATGAAGTTATTTAACAGAGGCTATTATTACTGATATGCTATTCACGGTGAATTTGCAGGTGCCACTAGTGCACCCAGCCTTTCAGTCAATAAGTGATCGTAATGCCTAACATATTTTGGCCAGTTATGGTCATCTTCGCCAGTCACGGTAGCCGAGTGGTCTAAGGCGTGCACTGTCTTCGCTTGCTCGGAAGCCGGGATCGTGGGTTCGAATCCCACTCAGGGCATGGATATTTGTGTGCGTTTTTCTGCGTTTGTCTACAGGTAGAGGCCTTGCGACGAGCTGATCACTCGCCCAAGGAGTCCTACCGTATGTGTAAGATCTAGTAAACCGAAGTGAAACGGAGAGTTTCATGGAGGTAGGCCTAGGCCCAAATTGGGGCTGTAGTGCCACCGGAAATGGTCATCTTCAGGGGCATCCAGGTAATTATAAAAGGAACAATCACATTTGTGTTACATATTTAGAACCTGTTCAAGAGATCTACACTAAAACTAATGCTGACCTTTAATAATGTAGTAATACAGAATGAGAGCATATAAATGCAGATTTGTTTATATTTTGTATTTTTAGTTCTTTTTTTAGCATTCACTTGACTGTATTTTGCACCATGTCCTTTCTGGTGTTGAGATGTCAGCTCAGTGCCACCAAAACATTCAGAACTCTTCCAAAGGACAGAACACTAAAGACAGTTAAACAGGCATAAAGACTGAAAAATATGAGCACAGGAAATATATATTATTTTCACAAGACTCATCTGGATCTTTGTGTCAGTGTTGGAGATCTGGCATTCTGTAGTTAAGGAATGAAAATAATACAGGNTAAGATTTGAGGCTTTCACGGCGGTGACTATGAAGAAAGCAGTCTTCTGGGATTTGGCACTGTGTATATGTGGTGTTAACCGACGTTTCGGAGGAACGTATCGCCTCCATCTTCAGGGTCTCTTCGCTTGTGGATTTCTTATATTTTTCTTCTACCCTGAAGATGGAGGCGATACGTTCCTCCGAAACGTCGGTTAACACCACATATACACAGTGCCAAATCCCAGAAGACTGCTTTCTTCATAGTCACCGCCGTGAAAGCCTCAAATCTTAAATATTAAAATAGTTTATTGTGAACTGAACTTGCTTAAGATAGGCAGGCTTTTGTGATGAAAGGTAAAAAAGGTAAAGTCCCTGTGCTTAACTAATTAAGCGCTACACCCGAAGGCATATGGGGGTGTGGATGTAGAGATCCACATTCTCTTGATCTCGGCACTAGCCGGAGGTGAGTGGTCACCTTCACTCCCCAGCCACTTTACCCCTGGGGAAAGATCCCCTGGTATCCACTGGATAGGAGGTTGGGTGAAACCCAGAGCCAGTGTGGACATGTAGAAGAGAAAATTCTTGACCCTGCCAGGACTCGAACTCTGGCCCCCTTATCATCCAGACTGTAGCTAGTTGCTGTACTGACTACACTGTCTCATCTCCTGTGGCTTTTGTGATATGATTTGAAAATGAATCCAAGAGGTAGAATGATCATGTTTCACCAGTTGGTAATAACAGGTGTCAAGTGGGTGAAAGAGATCAAGTGGCTAGTTTCCATATAAATAGACTTGAAAGGATTCTGATGATGGTTTATGCTGTACAGAATTAATGGGCTTACTTTGGACTCTATCCATTGTGGTTTTTTGTCTTATATACAGGGTGTCCCAGGAGGAATGTGCCAAACTTCGGGAGGGTGTTCCTTATGTTAAAGTATGCCGATATAACCCAAAACACCTATGTCCAAAGTTGAACGGTTACGGAGATAATGGCCCGAGAAAAGTGTGGTCTTCTTGCAGGTCCACGCACTGTGGACAGTCAGCTGTGNACCAGACGATGGACAGAGTCCAAAATAAGCCTAATGCTTCTGTACAGTTTCCATATAGTTTCTTTACTGAATCTTGGATGTGTTTCCCCTCCACATGAATGTCCAGCTTGCTGCAAAACAATTTCTTTCTGTAATATCAATAAGAACAGTTGTGGTAGATAAATACTTCACATCAGTTTTACATTATCTGTTTGTGTGTAGATCTGCCATGCATAATGCTGCAGTCTCGTATTTCCCAATTTTGGAGACATCAAAATGGAAGCCCACGTTGGTATCTGGCCACTATAGAGGCAATACACCAGTTCCTTGTGGAGCTCCACACAGTAGCATGGAACAGAAACGGCAGTCACCACCATGCTGAAACCCTGGCAGTGCAAGCAAGCAAACAAAAGGTTCCTACATGTGTTCAGCCTTCTAACAATGAAGAAGTTCCAGGTAGAAACAGCAAACCAGATACCAGTGCTATAGACAAGATTAATGGTGTGTGTGGAACAAGTTTGGAGGGTGGGATTATGGTGCAGAGTAGTGATCTTGGATGCCTAGAGAATGAACACAGTAAAGTTAATTCCAATTCTGAATGTATTGGACCTTACAAAGGGGAGTATGACAACCTGCTATTCTTCTTCTGTTACATGTATAGCAAGATACATAAACTCTATAAACATGAGGACTTGCGTGCATACAAGCGACCATTAAAATAAATTTTTGTGAATATTTTAATAAGGAATATTCAGTATTTTACATTTACCTGAATGGCTTCATCATTGTGCATGTGACTGTTTCCTCCTCATATCCTGTTTCACCACTTATAACTGTCCTAACATACCTTCACATTTGGCAGCACCACATATATTGTTGGTACTGCATTATTATTAAAATCATTTCAGAAGTGTTTGTCTTCACATCTCTTCAGCTCCATAAGTTAATAGTACTTGACCAAGCAATATGTTATTACAGGCTTGATCCCCAGCCATAGAACTTGGGTGGAATCAAATGACAGAAATTTACTTTTAGCTGAATTGGTTCTCTAGAATGAAATGGTTATGTAGTTATGGATACTATGTACGAAGTGTAAACTGTTTCATAAATAAATGAGATAAAATTCTGTTCATGTTTTCTTTCACTGTTGTTCTCATGTTTTTTCTGAATGTGTGCACAAGGCTCACTGGAAAAGTTTAAGATGCAGGGTTAGGCTGGAAGAGCTGGGAGACAGGGATGTATTAAGTACAACTCCATGTCACTGTACTGATCCCACACAACAGCTCACCAGTTGAGTGTCACTGGCAGTTTAAGCATTCCATGAGTGTTTTCCATCAATTCCATTCAGGCCTCAAAAGATGTTGCAAGATGGGAGAATATATGTTGTGTGGAAATCATAAATGAAGATTCATGATTAACATAACAGATGCATACTACATTTCATTAGATGACTATGTGTTAAAGAGTCAGAGGAACATCAGAATGCAGAACAACTGGTTGGATGTGTTCTGCAAGTGCAATGCAGAATTAGCACTGCACAAGCCAGATCCTATGAGCTTGTCCAGATCCACTCCTTTTAGCAGAACCATACTTGAAGAATTTTTTGGTAACTATCAGTCTGTTCTGAAGAGAGACAATTTTCAGTATGGAACACTGACAAGACAGTAATGACAACCACACACAAAAAACCTAAAATACCTGCACAGAAAAATGAAAAATTGAAGATACTGAGAAAGATTTTCTTTTGGTTCAGAGCAAGGGTAAAAAGATGAGTCACTCTGATACACTAGTGATTTTTGCCAGTACCACATACTGTGAGGTTAATACTTCTGTTGGAAAACTAAGAGGAAGGTGACTCAGATGAGTTTTCCGGTTCATTTCTGTCCTTTTAACATGGGCTAACATACTGATGACGAACTATTTTACAAGTACATAGAGTGTTGGATGTGAGTGTAAGTTAAAGAAAACTTGGTTTTCCAATTTTATTTCTCTTATGATGAACTTGAAATGTTTTAAGACATAAGTTAACAAACGCTTTTTTCTTCCACTTTTTATGGTTATAATTAGCATAATTTGAGCATATTTCAACTGTATAGTGATACATCAGACTGTAGATAAAGTTTGTTAACCGAGGCTCTCAAATGATATTGGTTAAAGTGCTCCAGTGAGTATGCTATTTACCAAGTTAGATTTAAAATAAAATTTTCTAACCTGAAACACAAAGTCATGATATTATTCCACCATTTAATGTAACTTAGATGTCATGCAATGGAAACAGTTTTCCTTCTAAGTTTTTGATAGTGTCTCTAGATGCATATGGCTTATGAACCTATGAGCAAATGACATACAATGAAAAGCCATCACATTACTACTTCATTTAAGTTGGTCAACTACTGAAAAAGTTCATTAAGATAAATACCTAATGGTAATACAGTGATGGCCAGAATATTTTAAGTATCTATAAAGCTAAGAAAAATTAATACTAAAATCTGTCCTGAGGTAGAACATCTTCCCTCACTTGTTTGGTGATAATATAAATAAATACATTTATGTTATGTAATCAGACAGTACTCAATAATTACTTAGTACACACCACAAATGTGAGGATGTTGTAATGGAGTTACACTCCACTACAGCTTTTTCTGAGACGAAGTTTTTTCCTTATTTTTGCAGATTTGACTAAATATTATGTTTGAAAAATAACACAGGTGCTGATAATATACAAACAAGAACTGTAGAGAGAAGTATTTCTATATTTTGAAAGCTGATTTTTAGGACATAATTACCTTATTACAACTTCCATCAACAGGACTTCATATCCTAACCACTAGATGTTCAAAATCCAAATCCTTACCTGTGCACTTCAGCCTCAAGACCAGCAACAGCAGTTTTGAGAAGCTACGATGAAGGGAAGGTATCATACACAGAATATTTCTGTCCCATGCTCTGAAATGTGGGTGACAAAAAGATAAATTTTAATATTTACAAATCAGTAACACTATCTTATTGACTAAAATCATGCTTTTATTATATTAGAGAACTATATCTAATCAATATTTCATAACAAATTAACAAAGGCTTTTAAGTGGGTCAAAAATGGTTACTGACTAAATATTTGCTTTGCCTTTACTGACACTGAAATTAAGTTTTAAGAACCTTACAATCACATGTATTTTACCTGCATATATGTTAGCTTTATGTGAACTAAATCTTCATTATAAAAAGAGATAAGAGATCATATCTCTGCATGGTTCAAGTGCTTATTATCCTCATATAGATGTAAAAATAACAAAGAACAATCACTATAAGCACAATAATGTAAATGTGATGCTTTAAGTGCATGCACAATTCTTATACATGAATTAATAAAATTTAAAACTGTAGTCTGTAACAACAAATAGCAGTATATGTAATTAAAATTATTACAAAGTTTTGCCACACATTCATATTTCTCATGTGATGTAAAAATTTAATTACATTTAGTATAATCCCTTGTGCCTTGTTTAACAAAAATAATGTTTAGTAAATAACAGCTACCATATTTTTCGTCAGTTCATCTTAAAAATGTAAAGAGAATATACAATATATACATATTTTGATGTATTTTCCAAAGTTCTTTGCAGAATATGAAAGTTGTTATAAAAAGCACATAACAGCTAAATAGTATTAGCAGAAATGAGTAAAAACAATGTTTTGAGAAAAATGCAATGTACTTGCATGAATGTGAGCAACTGTTTATTATATAACGATGTTATAAAAGTAGAAAGCTGGACAAGTAATAACAAAAAAAAAATACTGAAGGATGAAGTATGCAAGACTGGCAATGATTTTAGGTGAAGATAATTATACTCCAACAATTTTCCATCAATTCAGTTTCTTTCATCACCCAGAATGTTAAAATAGCACTTCTGTGCATTATCATTTCCATACTGAGCTCAAAGATACAAAAATCTGCATTCACTGTGTGGCTGTTCAGGGCTGTATAGCTATTCTAGAACAATGTAAACCATTATTCATTGCACAAATGGTATTTTTAAAACCAAATCATTCATTCATCTTCTCCAAATCATATACAGACAGGAACACTTATCAAGGCATAGATCCATTCAGATAACAGATACTGTGCATTTGATGTTAACCTTCTCAGTTGGTACACTGTCATTAACTAACCAAGTGGCATAAATAGTTCACATATTTTTGCACAAGATGGTGTTTACTCACACAATGGCAGGAAGAAATTGTATGATAAAAGTCATATGTCAACTGCCAACTGAATGCAACACTTTCATCTACCAATATGTCACTCTGAAGGTGGATCTTTTCTCTCTGTTGACAGCACTCAGTGTGGCAAAACAGTTGATGTTACCTTTGTGTTGAATGTGATCCCTGCCATGATAAGTGATCATTCTCCCCTTGTTTATATATATACATACACACACACATATATATATATATATATATTCCTATAAATTTTAACTTGACAGCTCTTCAGATGCTACTACAGTATAATTCCACCATATGCTGTATCAGGTATTTAAAGTCAAATTCTAAGCAATTACTTTATTTATTAAATTTTTTTTCTTCTGATAGATGGATCTGAACCATAAGAGTAATGTTACCAGTATTTACACTACTGGTATGGTAACTGGTCTACTACAATTTAAATTTTATTTTACTATGCCCCATCCAGAATAGGGTGGAAATTACTGCTAGAGTAATACTGTATAAAGTGCCAGTAACTGTAAGCCTGTATAGCAAACAAGTATCACATATACAGCTCACATTTTAAAATTCTTATCACACTGTATTAATTATTAAAAATTTCATACTAAAAATAACAAAGACATAAGTACATAATTTGTGTGCAGTATTATATGATATGTTACTCATTTCTTATCATGTGGAAGTATTTTGTGCAAATGGTACTGAAACTGCTATTAACTGATAAAGTGCTTCTTGAGTACTGAGTTAATCAACACTGTTAGCAAAGATATTACTTCAATTTATTGCTCGTTCAATTAGCTGTAATCTTTCTTCTTCTGCATCCAAAGAAATGGGGAATCTACTTTCTGCATTAGCTGTTGTTGATTCTGACTTAAGCTACAATACCTAAGATTCTCTTGAATGTCTAAGGTATGTTATGTTTAAGTTATAGTTGAACATTCATACAGTACACACACTATTATCAGCATGCAAGTTATCCACCTTGTAATATAATCTAGAACTTTCAGAACTCCCATTACTGATCATAGCTTCTCATGATGATTTGAGTGTTGCTCATTACATCTATTTCAGCAGTATGTATCAGTGATACTTCAAAGCAATTTGCAGTGTACTGTCCATTTTCTAACCCTATTGCAACTTTCTGTTTTATCACAACACTGTCTTACATCCTGGCCTACTAGCACTGAATATAGGTCACTTTCCTCTGTTAGATATTTCTGACCAATAGCACAATCAGTAAGCAATAATATGCAAGATGAATGCAGCATGAATGATGGGTATTCCCAGATTATTGGATTATCCATTGTTTTTAATTATCCACACTGCTTCTTCCCTCCATTACCATAGATAACTGAGTCGCTGTATTGAATTCTCTCTTAGGGTATTAAAAGGAAATGAACTACCATTAACAAGCTGTCAACTTGAAAAAAAAACTGTCATAACTTAACATTTGAAATGAAATAAACTTACCTTTCAGTTGTTGACATTATTCCTACAACACAAGAGCAGACCATCTAAGTAAAAACTAAACATAACTGTCATATAATTTTATATACGAGAAATAAATAGTTTCTTATATCATTCTGCTATCAGTGCACAAATACAATGTTAACTGTTTCTGAATGGGCGTTTATCTCTTACTGTAGACTTTCCTCTGAGAAGTAATTAAATTATCTTGACACAAAGACTGATCTGTTACATATAAATATTAACAAAAATGAAGTAAGAATTTTGGATTCAAATACTGCCCACTTAGAAAAAAAAAATATTTTGTACAATTAATGCTAAATAATGAAAGGTCTGCAGAAATGGATTTAGACAGTAAGTTATGACACTGGTGCTGATTCAGATATTAGTTTAAGTGACAGCAGAACATTTAGTGATTGTTGCTCTGTTCAGTGTTCAGATTTGTTACATCTTTCACATTTTTTCCCAAAGTTCTAACTCAGTTACATTTAACAACTGTTGATAAAAGTTATTTAACTTATTAAGCAATACAGTGTGCTCAAATACCAACGGGAGTGTAACTGATTTTCTTGTATACTAAATGTACCTGCTAAATAACTGCACATTTCTAGGTCGTTATTTGTATATAAATGATGCACAGTTCAACAGTGATTAGTATACTGCAATACCAACAGAAGATGTATCTGAACCCTATAATGGATACTGCAATGAAGAACTATATGTTTGGGAATAAGATGTTCCCATTTGCATTTGGAAACTGATACTTATCTAGCTTACTGAAGATACTGACAAATACATTTTAACTGAATACTTCTACTGAAGTTAAGGCACTGATGCACGGAGTTCAGGGATCAATGTGTGTAGCTCAAAGATCAAATGTTTTCTGATCAGACTGTCCCACATCCCCCGCTATATGCAGTACCCTCCTCCGCATGGTCCATCTTCCCACCCCATAATGATAGCCCACATAACTGGTTTCAAGAGTAGCCTCCTAAAGTGTACCAGCTTCTCCTTCACTACCACTTCCCACTACCCTGGAAACATATCCCCCTTTCACCATCATATCACACCGGCTATATCGCCAGAACTTTTTACTATTGATATGAGTTTATTGCTGTAATAGCTTGTCCTAGGTATATGATTCCAAAATTTGTGATTCAAAACACATGATCTGTAACAACTTTTACCTTTTTATAGTTCTGTATTTGGTCAAATAACAAATTTCTCCTATGGTGTGGAACGTTTCTGGACATTCTGTATATTAAGAATGCTGCAAATATGATACTGTTGGGATACAATTCTCAACACAGAAAATTTCTTAACTCAGTAAAATATAATTTTATGCAAACAGAGGACCATATAAATTTACTGCATGTGAAATACTAACATGGGATTTTTTTTATATGAGACTTTAAAGGCACGAGAGAGGGAGAGAGACACTTTGCAAAAAGACAGAATTTCTGGCAACATGCACTTAAATAAGCTGGCAGTCTCTCAGATCAACTGCTGCTTTTCAATGCATCCAGAAGTTCTTCTCACTGACATTCTGAGAATCCAGTGAGCAGTATTAAGCATGCTACTCTGATAAGAATAGGAAACTACTTGAAATTTAACCTATTCTGACTCTCAAAAATACATGCCTTGGTGAAAGAACATCTATGACTACTTCAGGTTTCTTAATAAAACACGTAAGCAATATAATTAAAAATATGAGTATGTTTTATGTCTTTTAATAATTATTCTACACAAGAGGTAGTTTGTGATGTTCCATGATGTCTGACAATGCAAGGACTATTATAAAGTGATCAGTCTACAATGTCCTGCATTATTTCTGTTTTCTCAAAATTGGAAGAGCCACTTACTCTGCACACACAACATACTAATTTACTGAACACCATGATGTAGCCATTACTGTTCCTTCTTCATATTCAGCTTATACACAGAATAAACCTAGTTTTCTTCAGCCCTTTTGAAGAAATATAAAGGCAGCAACTAGCCACCATCTCCAACTGTGAATAGGAAAAAAATATAGGACTTCATCCACGAAACATACTAATACTATAGGTGTCGCATATTAAATTTAGAAGCATAAACCTACTTTGCCATATGTAATTTTGTTCTGAACAAGAAACTTTGTCTGTACAACACTTTCTACATATAATTCTGTGCCTGAAACAGCGATATAAAACAGAAAACTTCAAGCAATAAGGCTCAGTTCATGTCCCTCCAAACCTTACCAATGCTTTGGCTCGCTATAAAATGAAATATCATGGTAATTCATGATACCATCATAACCACTATTTTATATATTAGAACACAGAAAGTGTTCTGTGGATGTCATACATACAAATTCACTCTACATCCTGTCTTGCTTTTAGCATATGCATGTAGGGTACTTCAAATTCATTACAAACCAAATTTGGTTACTTCACACATAAAATGAGAATTATTATACAAATGACTGCATATCTTTCCCATCTTTACTGGCAACCATAAAAATCTACTGGTTAATTTAAAACACACTTGGTAAGAGGTGTTTGAATATAAACAGAATACAGCAACACTTGGAAGTAGCATACTTCATGAAGTATGTGGAAGATGGGGTGAATTTCAAATCAATATTTTTGCAAGAATGGAATTACCAACATTCTGCACTGTTATGTGAGGGAAGTACTGAATACCTAGTTGTCTTCCAACACACTTTCTTTCCTACTGAATAACCGTAAACGACCAGAATGTTGCGTAGCACTGCTGATAACTTCCATCCACCTGCAAGGACAAAATGTCATTTCTAAGCACCCTTTCTACATAGTTCATTATATTCACTTATATAACTATAATGTAAATTTGTTTGTTGATCAGAATTCTACACTTGCAATAAATCAGTTACTGAAGCGTAGAACTAATTTACATAGTAGTGACATATACAACAGGATGCAAAACATAAGAATGGAGGGAGATTAGAAGATTGTATCTTGGGCGTAATGAACAAACACTTATGAAGTTTGGTGCTGGAGTTTAACTAGAAGTATTAAGCGAAAAGAACAAATTATGAAGGTTCGGAATATGAACTCTACACATACCAAAATTATTTATTCTATGCCACACTGAACATAAAAGCCACAAAGATTTAAGAAGTTAAAAAGGCATAAGAGTTTGTTGTAATCACATGATGGAATTTTAGAGTAGGTGAGAGAAAGAAAAATGCTTCATCTTATATGGGTTGTGATGAACTCTCCCATTCAAAATGAAACATAAAGCAAGTAACCTCATTATTTGAGTAGACTGTAACAAACAAACAAATAAATCCTACTTTAGAGAGAGAGAGAAAAAAATACTGGAAACCCACGGAAATGAACAAGTTTTGATAAGCAACAACCCAGTACTGCACTATTTAACCTACCGACCAAATGTGTATTCACTTTCTGCCCTGAAGAAATAAACATGATTCTTGAACTGAAGTTTGAAGACATATTCTTTGTGTATTGCATCTTGTTCTGAGGGAGAACTGACTGTATATCCCAACAGAGGCAAGCTGGCTAATGGGAAGTCATCCTGCAAGTTACAAATCAGAAAACCAGCCATTAAGTTACATAGTAAAACATCTATGTAACATAATTTATGATAGCCATAGTTTAGACTTTTGTTATTTGTACAAAGTTTTTGTTCAATGTTATCCATATCAGCCTTATATGTATATGATTTAGCCAATATTCACTTTATTCAGACACCTTCATAGAATAATCCTGAATGATGCAAAAAGTATTGGAGAATAAAATGACCAACACTAGGTAATGCTCTTAACATTAGGCTTATTTTACATAATATTCATATAAAATGGTAAGACTGAATTGTCATATAAAACTGCCATAAAAAGACCAATTTATTTCACACAGATCAAAATAAATGACAATTTAAAAATCTAACTGCAGAAATTTACACTGTTGGACTGTTACAGGAACAGCTTTACATTTCTTTATGTAAAAACATTATCACAAGCAATTGTAAAATACAGGACTTTTATGATGCCCATGCTATAGGCAGAACTGATAATCATGTAAACTAAGTCTAGTAAATCTTACACATCATCGAATTCAGTTCAAATAATTTTATAATGTCATTATCAATAAATCATAAAGGTATTTACACACCAACAAAAATTGTCAAACCATCATTTGTACACAATTCTGATGACTTTTATGTAAATGCACATGTAGACAACCAAGTGGTTCTGGTAATCATACCTCTTCTATGTTTGTGAACCTAGAATGGGTTGTACAAACATGATCTTTGCTCACATGAATTAAATGCAATACTGCCACATGGCACCCTACAGATGGACAGCATCAGGCATGCTGGTCAGCAGCAGAGAGTGTTTTGTACACGACCCTGTTTTGAGCTGTATGTTACAAACAAATCGAGCTGTATGTGTTACACTGTAACAGTATCTTGTGAGTCATAAAGAATGGTAAATCAGCAGCTCCAGTTCAGTAACTTGTAATTATCTTTTTGCATGATTCAGAAATAAAAACTGTAAATAAGCACCAATTTTTATGAAAAATGAGAATATATATTAAAACACTGAGTATTAAATAAAAACTGTCAAGCAACATTACTTTCTGCTGTACCACAATGCTATTATATCCCATCTCAAATATTTGCTATGGACTGTCATCCTTGTTTTCATGAAATTCCAGGCAAGCAAAGGCCTAAGACAATTGATTCTTGGGTTAGTTAACATTTTTTAACTGTATACAATACATAATGTGAAATAGTAGAATGACTGTGGATAATGACTCTGAAAATATCTGGAAGTGGTAGTGGATTATTTTAATGTACCATCCTAGCCTGGGGAGACTGAGGAAGATCAGGAACATCATGTACCTAGAATTTCATGCTGTGTAATTTCTTGCACAACGAAATATTACCCATTTTACCTGGAAAGTTTTGTAGAAGAACAAACAGAAGTTTGTGAAAACAACCCACAACTTCTGCCAGCCATTGCTGTTCTTGAATTTTCGCAACAGATAACCACTTAGTTGGTTCTGAAAACAAAACATGAATAATGCAAACATCACTAGCCCTGACAACCAAAACTCATTTATAGAGAAGCCAGTGGTTCTTCTCAGTTAAGCTGGTTGGAGGGAGAAGCTGACCACAGGTTTAGATAGAATGAAAATTTTACCTCCTACTCTCCACACACCTGCATGGCATCAAATATGGCACAGGCAATTCTTCCTCTCTCACTTTTCATCTTCAGCGTACTTCTTTTTTTAATAAGGCAAGATCATCGTATCATGACATCTGTTAATTCTGAGTAGCCAATATTCAATCATAAACAAGGTGAAACTACAGCAGAACAAGTATGGTTCATCACAAGGACCATTATAGCAACTGGAATCACCAATTCTTAACATTATGCATATGAAAAACTATCGCGTAAAATAATGACTTTTTCCAGCATCTTCATTGTAACGAGCGATTCCCAACTAGTTGCCACAGATCATGCATATGTTTTTTGCACCAACTACACTTGCAGTTTTGCTTCTGTAGTGACATGGTTAGCAGCCCATAAAGGTCCCCCTAACCCATCCTCTGTCCTGACTATGTCCAGAAGAAAGTTGATATTACAGAAACTGTGAGCAGCTTACCCCCTCCAAGTTTTAACCACTAAGGAATATATATCATGTGATGTCCATTGCACTGTTCTGTATCTTCCCCACCTTTTCAAATGCTTCCTCTTCTCATGGGCTTCCTCTGATCTAGGTGGGATAATATCACAGAACACACCTATGCAGTTGCATGTTTAAATTTTATCACATCAAAAGTCTATTGTTTTTCAGTTGGCACTGACAGCACAAAATTTTGAAAGACCATAATTATAAAATGAAAACATGAATGAGCTTAGACTTCAATAAAAAACCTTAAGTAATGAATGAAGTCGGCACCTCATCAAAAAGTGACACAGGAAGCCAGTATGGATTAACTTATTTTGACATACTTTACAACATTTATGAACAAAGAAAATATGGCATATATTAAACCTAAACAAACTAATATTGTACCTTTCTTTGGTGAATACATATTAGTGAAGTCTGTTTAATGATTTAAGATTGAGACTGTGTGATTAACATAATGGGTTGAGATGTGAAGCCAACCATATGAAATTTCTTATGGAGAGAGATCATCAATTAACTTACAAATAAGAAATTCAACATAATTTAGAACATGGACAGTGTAAAACTCTGAGGTTATATCTTACAAATTAAACATACGTGGAACTGGTACTAATAAATATTATGAACAGAATTTGATCAGTAATTAATTAACCATTTATATCTCTTGCTAGATTCACAATATGGAATGAAGCATTTGAAGGAAAGTAGGCATCATAAATTCTTCCTGCAACTTCATACAAGTAACAACCACTCAGGTGTCAGAATGTGCATGTGAGTAAGTAGTATATATGAGGCGTATTCAAAAGTTCCCTGACTAGGCCAAAAAAGATTTTGGCTTGACTTACTCAATTTTGGCTATTGCCTCCTTCAAAATAGTCTCCTTGGGAACATATACAGCAATCCCATTGTGTTTTCCACGCTTCAAAAGCACCGTGGAAGTCATTTTCCTTAAAGCTGTCAAGTACCGCTTACGATTGATTCCCTTGGAGTGTCAGACACTGTTTCAAAATGTTGTCCCTTCAGTTTCATTTTCAGTTTGGGAGACAAAGCGAATTCACACGGGGCTAAGTCCAGCAAGTAGGGTGGATGGTGGGTGATAACCATGTTGTTGTTAGTCACAAACTCTGTGTTGTTCATGGATGTGTGGGTGGGTGCACTGTCATGATGAAGGAGCAATACAGTGCATGTTCAAATTTTATGTTAAGATCTTCTTGTGAACTCCATAACTGATCTTAACGCTGCCTGCGAGCTCATGGAATGTTTGGTGATGGTCTTTTTTGATAAGTTCAATATTTTCTGTCATTTTGCTGGTGCTTGGTTACCCTGAACGTTTGTCATCTTCAACTGACACTCGACTGGCCTTGAAACGTGAATGTCATTAAAAAACCATTGTGCAGCTTCATGAATGTTCTTCAAAAGCCTCACGAAGCATTTCAAGGGTTTCCATAGCAGATTTACCGAGCTTCACACAAAATTTGATGCAGACACATTACTTGATTTTGCCATCCATCACAGACAAAATGAAACATGAAGTCAAAAAAAGCACTTGTATAAAAAATTCATGTCCACAGTGTGGTGTCACATGGCAGACTGATGCAATAGGCCTGCGGAAATGTTACCTTGGCCTCTCCTCTCATCTTCTTTCACCGAGACAGCTAGAACAACAACAGTCTGGGAACTTTCTGATACCACCTTGTACATGTAACTGCCCACCATATGCAACATACTCAACACACCAGAAGAGAGAGAGAAGTAACAATAAAATATACTGACTTCTACAGCGCGCAACTGATCACGCATGCTAATGCTGGTGTTCCGATGCCAACAAACATGTACTGTAGTGTTACTGCGTTGAGTGGCTCCTGCTGCTTTCTCCCGTCCTGTTCCATTGGTGTCACTGGTGCTATCACCACCACAAGTATCCATCACCTCATCTGATGAACCTGTGTGAACATTAAGTTTTACAAATTGAGGATTTTAAGAGATGGACAGTATTCCTGAATACATGATTGTGTACTGATATTTATGTTCTCACATTATGTCCATGCAAACTACTGATTATCAATTTCAGAAATACAGCACTTCAAATTTCCAAACCCAAAGTGCATTTTAGTCTCTTCTTCACCAATCTGATTTGATTTCTTAGGAAAACATATGTTACATAACACTGCAGTGAAGTTCTTTATTCACACATGTGTGGCTGGCATGAAATAGAATAATTTATTATTTATTTTCACTTTCAGTAACAGGTATTTAAAAGCTCATACATTACATACTGCATACAACATCCATAATCTTCCATTTACCATAACAATTTACACTGCGTAAGCCTCTCTGGACACCCAAAGATTTTTTGTTACCAAATTAATTAAAAATTTTATATTATATCATATATTAGAACTATACCAAGATGATAGAGTTAAAAATTAATATTTTTGTAACATAACCTGAAGGTTAAACACCCTGATCCCAAAAGCCACCAATGCATATGCTTTTGGGGAAATTTAATCCACATCAAATACTCCAACCTATAAATATTTCTCTAGAGTCTATTTTACCATTACCATAATGATTCTTTATTAGTCTTCAAGTGTGCACTAATTCAATGGAACAGATTCCTTCTTGAGAAGATGAAGTTCACTCGTGTAGACAGGAATTTTCTAGCTCTTAGGGAACTTGAGGGTTCATTATTATGTTCATGAGTCAGCCAGTGTATTTCTTATCTTACACCAGATGAATCCAACCCACAACCTTAAACCTCATCTCCTGAAGATACATTTTTATACTATCCTCCAGATTACACCTCGGGCTCTGAAGTTGTCTTGTCCATATTTTCCAATCAATATTCGGTACATACTCCTCGAGCAGGCCGTGCCATAGCTCAAGTGGTTAGTCACTGGGCTCCCCACTGCAGCGGCCCAGGTTCGATCCCGGGTCTGGTCAAGTGGGATTTGTGGTGGACAAAGTGGTGCTGGGGCAGGTTTTCTCAGAGTACTTCGGTTTCCCCTGCAAGTCTTCATTCCACCAAATTCTCCATCATCATAATCACCCAGGGCAGGCTACAGTAGATAAATCAGCGGCTGCAGTGCCGAGTGGACCCAGTTGGACTCCACCCCCACTAAGCAAATTTAATTTTTTACTCCTCAAGCATCTCATGCAATGACCATGTCATTCTCACTGATTATTGCCCTTGATTTGGTCACCCTAACAACATTTGGTGATGACCCTCATTACGCAGTTTTCTCCATTCTCTTGTCGCTTCCTTTCTCACATGTCGAACCAACTCTCAACACCCTGTTCCCCAGAGTTTAAAACTAGCATACATCTTATTCCTTATGGTCTAGGTGACACATAACCATCAAAGACACCGAGAAACAAAAGCTACTCACTGCATGACTTGAGACTGAGGTACTGAAGCTTATTATCACCTCTGTCTCTGGCAGCCTGGACTGTAGCTGTGAGGTCTTCCAACCACTTATCTTTTTCCTCTTGGCTACTTGCTGCCACAGTAAGTGCTCTGTCATAATAACCATCAGTTCATTAGTAAACAGAATATGACATCAGATTTATAATATATTGTATAAAGTAATAAAATGAGTTAATGGTTCTGTTATGTAAAACTATGCACAACAGCACAATCACTTGCATAAAGGTTATTAAATTTAAAAAGTATTTATGAGGTCCCATCAAAAAGTTCAAGCAAAATGAAGCAAATGATATGGATATTGAACAAGTTTCAAAGTTGACAATTGTTGCTGATTTAATTCCTCTTATAGGAAGCTGCAACTGTGTCTCAGTTGTAGCATAAATGCCATCTTGTGCAGACTTGTTTAAATTACACATGATGCGAAAGAGACGAGAAGAAGAAGCAGGCTTGTTCATCAAACTCTATGGAAAACTGATGAGTGAATGAAACTGGCATAGCGACAAAATATCATATGTGTATGACTATTAGCTATTTACAAGTAAATCTTCATTTAGTATTCCTACATTAAGTGAATATTTTTTCTGGTCCCAGCTTGATACAAAACTATATGATATCTAGAGTATCCACTGCAATGAATGCACATACATGCGTCTTACAGATACCTGAGCATCAATTACCTGTTCCCACCATAGATAGTGAAGCAATAGTATGCTCCAGTCTTATTGTCTGGTGTCTCCTCCACCATAACACCTCTCAGTGGCAGCTGACCATGAACTTTGAACTGTGGGTTCGGCTGAACAGTGCGGTTAGTATACAGCAAGAGGTCTGAGAACTGTCAATACAACATAAAATACATTCACTGCAAGTGTTATAAACTTAATAAAAGAACTTCCATACTAATATATTTGATTAGTGCCACCTTTTGTTTACAGCAATGCAACAGCTGTTATCAATTAATTTATACAAGTTTACATTAATTATATCATTCCAAAATTATGTGATACATGCTTAGTAGTTAGTTCTCTATTATTCTTTGTTAACAAAGATGTATTTTGTGTGTCTTCACTCCACATACAGTCATTCATTCATTATATTTTCAATCTGGGGAAAATTCATCAAACAGTAATAAAGCATAGGTGTAACAAGTTTGTTTGAGAACTGGCAACTTGCTCACATTGTAAATATAGAAAAAAAGGAAGAGAAAAAAAAAAGAGAGAAAAATACAGATTAAGATTTTTACAAAATAAACTATAGACATTTGCACATGCTTTGCAAAACCATTGTTAATAGTAGATTAACACTGCAGGAATTAGTTTCATTAAGAAGCTCCACTCACAAATCAAAATTTTATGAAATGATACATTAACATTTTAAGTTCACTTTACACAATTATGGACTGATTCCCAACTTATCCACCGTGGAACAATTTGTAAATTTGAAAAATTTACATTTAATTTAATAATGTTAGCCAATTCTAAACTGTAAGTAAAATTTCAAAGACTTCTGGCTCTGTGTTTGTGTGTGTATGGGAGGGGGAGTGTGCAAATTATTTTTTTGTAAATAATTACTATCGCGAAATCCTCTTTTAACTGTGTTTACCAGCACAAATTTGTGCTAAGAAAACAGTGACATAAAAGACAGGATATGCATGATATGAAAATAAAAGTAAAGCTATCCCTGTACCAGGCCATGAAGGCCCATAGGGTTGTGAAACGTTGAGGGTCCCACACTATCTAGATGATCGGCTCAAAGATGGCGGTAAGGTTGTCAGCCTTATGCACCGGCCGCGCTTTTCTCCCCAGGAAAATTATTTAATTAATGATATATGTCATCACATTTTGTATTAGGTGCTGAATATTTCCAGACATCTTTATTTGCTTTCCCATATTGTTAAATCAATTATGCATTTTCATGTTCTATTTGCAGCATGACCTTTTTGTATTTTCTCTCCCATTTTCTTCTGGGACACTCTGTGTCTAATTCAATACTAGACTTATCATTTTTAAGAGGGAGATGGTTAAAATAAGTATTTATATTCCTTTTTTATGCCTTGTTTAAGATTAAGATGGTGTTTCTAATGAATATATTGTAGCACATAGATCCACTGCTAGGCAACGACTGTGAAATAAACAGCTATACTTGTACAACAGCAACTGCTAGGTATTGGTTCTGTAAACAACAGCTGTTGCTAGGGGAATGGCAGCAACACATTCATAATATGCAACAATGGAGTAATTGGGAAGTAGTGTTTTCTATGCAGTCTGTGTGATAGCTACATGATGCAACAACAGAACTATTGGGAGGTGTTTTCTGTGTAGTCCATGCTGAAGCTATATAACAAGGAGCAGCCAAGCAGTCGTAGGAGAGGCGTGGTCGGTGTCTGTGACGTTGATGTGGGCGTGTTCTGATGTATTATGAGGTCGAACATGTTACGTTGGCTATTAATTTCTTCTGTGTGTTCTTGTTCTTCTATCAATTTATTTACATTCGTGATGCCTCTTTCTTTGGCTTTTTCAGTCATTTCCATGATTACTGTCATCGGCCCGTATTGATGGTGTTTATATAGTATGTGTTGGGCAATTGCTGATTCGTCCTTGTTTAGTCTTATGTTTCTTATGTGTTCTTTGTATCTTGTTGGATTTCTACCAGTTTGGCCGATGTATACTTTTTGGCAACTTTGGCATGTTATTTCCTATATCCCACTTTGTTCATAGGGGTTTATTTCTCGTTTTTCATTTATTAGTTTACCTATTGTGTTGGCTGTTTTGAAGGCTATCTTTATGTTAGTGTTTTTGAATAGTTTTGTGATTTTTCATATGTAATTTCCTGTATAAGTAGAAATGACCCATTTTGTTCTTTTTCGTCTTTATTATCCAGGTTACCCATCTTTCGCTTAAGTTTGTTATATAGACGTGTGATGTCTTCCTTTCTATAGCCATTATTTAGTGTTATATTAATAATAGTATTTAATTCTTTGTTTTTAGCATTTTCCTCAAGGGCTGTGTATCCAATTTTTATATGCTGGCAATTTTTGTTCTTTAGAGTGGCATGATTTATTATTTATTGTTATGTCTGTCGTTATGGGTTTTCTGTATATTTCCATTTCTATTTATCCATGTCTATTTAATATATTTAAGACCAGGTAAGCTAAATTTTTTAAACACTTTAAAAGTTTTAATACCAGGAAGGCTGCTGTGATTGTGAAAAGTTGAATATTGTGTACATTGTGTATTCCAGGCATTATGTGTGCATGTACTTTAGCAATCAGAACACCTATTCTGATGGTGGTTTCCGAATAAGTATTGCTGTTCCTTCTGAAGATGATCCGTAAGTGTGTGTGTGTCTCTCTCTCTCTCTCTCTCAAGTCTCAATTCTGAGACAGTAAAATATGGTCGTGAGTCCCAAGGGACTCAGACTTGAGAAAGACTGCGCTGGCAAGAGCCAGCAGCATATACAAAAGACAGACCCGTCCTCTCGTCAGAGAAGGCACCCCACAGAAACAAGACCGTAACTGTCAAATGATGGTAATTAATATCTGGTCATGAAAGACTTACTGACTGACTGACCGTCAGTCACAATGTAACTCTGACTCTGACAGTCATAGGAGGTGATGAAAACGGAAGTCTCAAATCTGAGACAGTAAAATAAAGTCGCGAGTCCCAAGGGACTTGGACCCGTGAAAGACCACACTGGCAAGAGCCAGTAGCATATGCAAAAGATAGATTCATCCTCTCATCAGAGAGGGCGCCCCACAAAAACAAGACCGTAACTGTCAAACAGTAATAATTAATATCTGGTCATGAGCCCCAGATGGTGCTCAACACCAAGATTTTCTGACTGATTGACCATCAGTTGCAATGTGACTTTGACTTTGATTATGAGAAAGTCTTGAGATGGCAGTGATAAGAGTAGGAGGTTGGTGTGAGATAGCCACCAGCCTGGAAGTTAGTCAGTTGAAGCAATGAGTCAGTTCTCAGACACTCGCCAACTAGTAAGGAAGTGAACACAGAAGTCGAGGAAGTTGTTAGCAGGCAACAACCGGTGAAGATTCAGCAGACTGTGCTGTGGTGAATTTCAGAGTGTGTGAATTACCAAAAGCGCCTACAGTTACGTGTACTTATGAGTTGTGTGTATAAGTGTTCAATAAATCCAATTACCAATCCAAACCCCATCTATAGTCACTCATACACTTGACAATATATTTGATGAATCTCAAATTTATTATTGTAGTCCTTATGGCCAAGTAAGCCCAAATCAAACATTTTTATTACCTTTATTTCTCTCTCATGTTTTAGGCATAAAATTATTTATAAACATATTTCTGAGGCTCAACAATTTTCTTAGGCTTGACTAACACATGCTTTTTTGATTTGGATGGACTTTACATCCTGGTACCCATACAAACTAGCATGTGTGAACAGCACTTATGCTAACAAGTTCACCTAATGAGCCAAATCAAATATTGCTCACTTTTTGTGTGAGTGTGAGACTAATGAAACTGAGTGACAGAGAACAAGCATGTGTAAACAAAACGATAAGTTCAGTCATGCTAGTTCAGTCATTCTTATTAGACCATACTGTGCATGTGAATATATCTGTTTAGAACATAATATATTCTCCCATTACAAGTCAGTGCAGTGAACAAAAAAAAAGGTCTGTCAAATTCTACTATCAGGAGAAATACCTGTGGTATTTTAAATGCAGTTCTTATGAAAACAAAGAGGCAAGGGATACCTGATATGATAAATTAGTTGGAGGCATGCAAGATGCTCAGTTTACCATCCATGACTGTAACACCAAAATTAAGCACAATGTGACAATGTCTGAAGAAATACACCGTTTCATAGGTACTTCTCAACTAAGAATTATACAGTTCTATCTGGTATGACACAAAGCTGTTTTCAGTTGCCAGATTTCTGCAGGAAAGACATCCATAACATATCAGAACACAGAATACAGCCACTAATCTTCGGAAACAGTTCATGAAACCTTTCAGGGCATAATTTCATATGACTTTGATAGTCCTTCTCATCTTCACTGTGCAGCTCTTTCAGTAGCATGCCTAAGGCTCCCAAAGCATTCCATCTGGTAACTCAGCTCCTTACCCAATACTTTTTCTTCTTCTTCTTGGACCTTTTCTTTTCAACAATATCAATAAGTTTGTCTTGTAGCACCTCAGATAGAACTTTGACAGCACAGTTGACTACCGCATGTGTGGTATCTCAGACATGTTGCCACTGTGAGTGAATGTAAACCAATGAACTAGCGGTACTCATACACTTCTATTGTGAAGGGGCATAAATTATTTTTTATAATTAATTAAATATACACCATACCAAAAAATATTTCACACTGAGTTATAGGTCTTAATGAGATCTGTACTTTATATTACATAATATTGTATTTGAGCATCATGTTGCAATGATGTATCACTTCATACATTTACTTCTGTCTTTAAAGCAAATTTACAATTATTCTTAGCTTAAAGTAATATTAAAATTAAAATTAAATTGCTACATGTTTTGGCCATATTTAGCCATCCTCAGGCAACTGTTCACTTGTTGAAATTGCTATATTGCATTAGTTCATAAGTCAAAATATTCCAATGTTGTTATATTTGCATTATTCATCCATTAAAATACATTTGCTTGAGAACATCACTCTTTATCTTCTTGCAGCACCTCTGTTTTTTATGTTGTTCTGTTTAGTCCTGTGAATATCGGTGTGATGTTATTACTATTGTTATTTTTATGTGCCCCATTAGTATGCATGTTCCCATGCAGTTACTCTAGTCAAGTGTATGTCACTTTATTATATTACATACTAATTCTACATAAGATATAGTTCTGACAAATATGACTCTTATCATTCATCCAGGAACAGAAGATTTTAACTTGGAAGTAAGAATGTTCGTACGGAAAAAAAGGCAATGCTTAGCTAGTTGACTACGCTATTACAGTGCTGTAATACAGGGCCAATGAGTGCTAATGAAATTTCATTTGAACTTTATGTATGGTGGTCACTGCAGTGAACTGATGCAAGCCAAAATAATACATTCCCCAGACTTTTCACACCATACCACCTATACCATATATGTGCAAATAAAATAAGCTAATGTATTCAGATTAGGCATTTTGTTCAAAGAATTTGTAAAAATAGAAGTTTAATCACTTGAGCTGCAGTACACACCAAGATCTTAGCATGAAGCAGAACTGACAACTGCACAGTGTAGACAGAATGATGATATATATAATTACACAACCTGACTTACCAGGAAGAACATGCGTTGCTGATAACCTTTGCGGGAATGCTTTAGAAGACATCCTTGTCGCACAAAGTTTCTGTCAGGTTGCACCAGATTGTCAAAGCCATTTAGATCACGCTGCAACTCACATAGTGCTACGAAGTTCTCCTGTCATACAAAGATTATCCATCATCTTGCTGCACAATAATTATATTTTAATTATTAAAAAAAAACTCTGTGGTCTGTAGCCTGCAAGCGAATTATACCGACCGAGCAACTGCCGCTTGTCGGCAAAGTTAGTGCCAACTTTAGCGGATAGAGGGTGTTGCGTGATCAGTGCAATGAATCCCCATGGCCATTAATTTCAGTTTTCTATAGCAGATCCGCTATTTCCTTGAAACAGCTCCTCAATTATCCTCATGAGGCTGAGTGGACCCCGTTCCAGACCCATTACTTCTCAGAAAATCTGGTAGCACCGGGATTCGAGGCCAGACATCTGGATCTGTAGCCAGGAACTCTGACCACTTGATCACAGAGGTGATTAAGAACACAAAATTTAATGAACACCAAATACCCAGCCTCAATAATTCTAATTTTTTTTTTTAATTCCATCATCTTCCTCCTATTCATTCTTTTGTTGTCTTGAGTTCTTACCTTACAAACATTACCATCTCTGAAGAGTATTATCATCTGAGATGATTCCACAGAGCCTGGTAAAAGTTAACAATGCTCTGAACAAATCAACTTTCTCAAACTTTAGGGTTGAAGGGTAAGCCAAGCTAGCAAGCACAAAGGCAAGTAGCCACAACTTACTGCCTGCTTGGCTTATTCTTCAACCCTGAAGATGGGAGAAATACATTCCACTGAATGTACCAGACTACACAGTGTCACATCCTATAAGACAGTCCTCTTCACAGTTACCACCATACGAATCTTAAATCTGACACTACTATTTCCATTGCACAAAGCTTAACTCTTTCAATAATTTAGTAATTAGTGTTCTGTCATTCCCTTCTGCATACTTATTTTTGGAGAAGAGCTTAAAAATGAATGATCATCTATTTGTGAGATGACTAGTATTTTGGCTATGTATACTCACTGAGCGCTGCAAAATACTGGGGACATTACGAGAGGTCTCCATCAACATGCTTCTTGCAGACAGACAATCTTCATAATCCTGATGATCTTTTCCGTAATGCTTCAGAAGTCCTGCAAACAAAATAGTGACATGATTACAAAGCTACATGTAAATGTATGCAACAGTGATGGGAAATGAACAGATTATGCATTCAGGGTGAACATTCACAAGGTGAAATGAAGCTAGTAATTTTCAGACATTCTTTAACAGAAATAAAGCAATGTCATGCCTCATGGGACGAGTGTGTCAGCCCATCTGATTTTTCAATTTCCGATGACTTGACTTGCTGGAATATGCCAGCAGGCAACATCTTTATTAAATGTTCATATAAAATACAAATTTAATCTGTATCAGCTATGACTAAACATACAGTGGAACCTCGCTTAACAAGCACCTCTCATAACAAGTCATTTGCATAACGAGCAAAACAAACTGTAAAACATGACTCGCTTAATGAGTGACATTTCGCATAACAAGTGACGAGAGGGGAAGTCCCAGATTGTGCGCTTGCTACATCAGTCTGTGTTTAGCACTCGTTCCGCTAGCATCTTAGTGTCTTGTGTTCAGACATATTATTTGTGATTGTTTTTTGTGCAAAGTTTAATAACCCTTGCAAAAATGTCACAGAAGAAAAAGCTGCAAAAAGACAACCATAAGAGAATAAAAATAACCGTAGAAATGAAACGTAAAATCATTGAAAAGCGAGAACGAGGTGTGAGCATGGCTGATCTAGCATGCACATACAATTGGTCTACATCAATGATTTGCATGATTTGGAGTTGCATTGTGTTTCACAGCAAGAAGTTGTGGAGGAGAGTTTGTCAGAGGAGGAGGAGGAGGTAACAGCAAACCAACAATCTTCTGGCGCAATAAGAGAAATGCTGAAAGCATGGGAAACTGTTGCATCGTACACTGAGAAGCATCACCCTAATAAGGCAGTGGCTATGCAAGCTACAAATTTATTTCATGATAATGCTGTGTCACATTTTCACCAAATTTTGAAGTGTCGGCAAAAACAAATGTCTCTAGACTGCTTTCTAGTAAACAAGAATTAGATATGTATCATAAATAATAAACTAATTATTTCGATTGTTTTTTGTTCTTTTTGCAAATCGAATTCACATTCCAGGTTGGTTCATTCTGTATAGAAGAAAAGATGAAGATGATTCACGCTCCTTAACAACGTATATATAATTTTCTTTGAATAAACGTTATACATAAAATTGTTTGAGTATTTTTTTTGGCATGGAATGCATTATCATATTTTACATTAATTTATACGGGAAATCGCTTAACAAGTGTTTCGCATTACGAGTAAGATTCTGGAGCGAATTATGCTCGTTAAGCAAGGTTTCACTGTATTTATATGTTCACATTGTTAAATATTTAGCAAACAAAAAGGGCAAAGGATGGATCTCTTCAATACAAAAAGTTATTAACAATGTAATTTGATATACTCTGACTACAGACAGGATTTGGGTTGGTAATCAGATTTAATGGACTCTTACAGATCTATGATTACAAGTAAGTATGACCGTTTCATTACTTCACACACTTTACAGTTCACTAGAGCACACACTGAAAGTCTTCTCAGCCTGCTGTGTCTTCACCAGTCTTCTGGTAATGGCTTTCAATGGCAGATGTTTATCCTTCCCTGGGTTCCAAACTGTCCCTGGCCTCAGCTACAGTAACTCTTGACTAAGTAAGTAACTAACTGTTGGTTGGTTGATCATTCAGACCATTAAATTGCTGTTGGCCATCGCCAGCACAATCATTCCTGGCTCCAGTCTCCTCAAGATCCATGATAAAAATTGTAATTCTCTCCTAGACATGTACAATGGGGTACCCAAAAGAAACCAAACTAATTTTTTTGTGGGCAGAGCTTTTGTAGTACTGCGTTTTGCCGCTATGAGCAAATAGAGCTAACATTCCTGAATTGACAAGCCGACTACCGTTGCTTCAGAAGGTAAGGACTAGTTTCGGCAGAATTTATAGTGACAACTGTTTTGTGTGATCGTCATTTTTGCAATGGCTGATTTTCGTGAACAGCATGCGGGAAAAGTGGAACAGAAACTCTTGAAATGTTAAAAACGGCATACAAGGACGATGCTATGGGGAAAACTCAAGTGTTTGAGTGGTTTTCCTGTTTCAAAAATGGTGAAATGTCAATTGATGACAAACCTCGTTCTGGTCGTCCTTCCATGGCCCGAACACATGAAAATGTTGAAAAAATTCTTGAAATCATCAAGGAAGATCGACGACGGACCATTGAAGAAATTGTGGAGCTGTTGGGAGTGACTTGGAGCTCAGCGGCCAGATTTGTGGCAGTCGAGTGACTGGTTTTTCCATCATGACAATGCCCCTGCTCACACAGCCCTGTCTGTACGACAATTCTTGACCAAAAATGGTATGACCCCTGTTCCTCACCCTCCATACTCACCCGACCTTGTCCCGTGTGACTTTTTTTTTGTTTACTCGAATGAAAAGAGACATGAAAGAAAAAAACGACTGAGGCGCTGTCAAGCATCTCAAAAGATGAATTTGGACAATGTTTTGAAAAATGGAATAAAAGACTGGACAAGTGTATTAGTGTAAGTGGAGAGTACTTTGAAGGGGATTGAAGATTTGTGCTTAAATTTTGAATAAATAAGTTTAAAAAAAAATAAGTTCGGTTTCTTTTGGGTACCCCCTCGTAGGTGCTTCAAAATGGGGTCTTCTCTTCAATAAAGGAGGGGTAGGTCTAGATTTTTCCCTACTTATAACATCTATGCACAGACCGTGTAGAAAACATGGCTTCTTCCCATTACTGTTGTATCCACCTGTTGCCACGGAAACATGCTGGTTTGTGAAGTCATTAGTCAGTAACAGTTGTCTCTGCTGGCTTCACACTTCTTGCCTTGAGAAAGTATGCCATACTGCTCCCTCCTTGAGGTTATTCATTCCAAGTAGCCTACCGGAAGCTTAACTTTTTAACTGCAGTGGAAAGAACATAAAACACTGGACTTTCTGAAAGCGTAAAACATCTGATCTTATCAGCAAAAATAATTTTGGTTTGCTTTACAAATCTTGTAATTGTTACATTATATGTATTTCTCCACCTGATACAACAATTTTTTAAATTTAAAGTTCCATGCTGTAGCATTTCTTTCAAACAAAATACCGTAGCCGGGCTGGGCCGGGAGATTGAAGAAAACATGTAGGATTTCCAAATACTTATTGCTGTCCATTATTCCAGATAGTAATGAAAATCTGTGGTATTAATTTGCAATGAGTTATATACTCATGTGCACAGTTAACATACTGGAAAATGTTTTCAAGATCTGTATTCATGCAACAACAGTGCTGCCTATCTAAATAATACATAGAACAATAATGTTCATGAACGATATGAAGGAGGCAGTTATTTTTTTAGCAGGATAAAAGAAGGCATTCTTTGTAACAGACTGTACTAGTGTTATAATTTCTGGTAAAAATTTAGATTTCTGCATGTTATCAAGCAAGGTTCTTTTGCAAATGAGTAAATGGTTTTCTGCAAACAAGCTATCCCTGTACCTAGAAACAACAAATGTAATAAAATTTATAACACAAAACTTACCACAATATCCATTAAACATAGGATATAATGACAAATACACTCAACTCTCGATTACCTGGGGGGCGGATAAACTGGTTTCCGGCTTAACCAGGGCTTTTTTGAGGCTTATATGTTGTTTAATATTCATTCACTTTTGTTTCACATTGTGAGTTGTAACACTATTTTCGCACTAGTGTGAACCGAGCTCTGCATTTTTTGGTCCCGTTATGCTAACACAATGTTCTAGGGTAGGGGTGAAAGAATACAAGGATTTGTGGAAAGTTTCAAGGGCAAATACACCACCCCAGTTAGTCTCTTTGTATCGATCTTCAAGTGCGTTAGTAAAATGTCAGGGTGTAAAAGGAAGTGTGTTGTGTTAAGTATTCAACAGAAACTTGAAATTATCAATCAGGTGGGAAAAAGAGGTGTAGTTAAAGAATTAGCAATGCAATATGGTACTGGAGAACAAACTGTTCGTGATTTGAAAAAACAAAAGAATCATTAATTTCCTTTGTTTCATCTTCTAATTCAAGCGGAATGAAGAAGAGAAAAACCATGAAAAAATCAACATATGATGATCTCGACAAAGCAATGCTGATCTGGTTTAATCAATTAAGGGCACAGGGAACAACAAAAACAGGAGCAGTTTGTGCTAAAGAAGCAAGCACTTGAACTACAAGGAAGTTTTGACGCTTCTTCCAGTTGGCTAACACGTTTCAAGCAGTGTCATGGAATACGAGAAATTAGTATTCAAGGTGAGAAATTGTCAGGGGACTTGTCATCATCAGTTCAATTTTGCACCAATTTTGCTAGTTTCATGAAAAGTGAAAATCTGCTGCCAGAATAAATCTATAATGTTGATGAAACGGGTCTTTATTGGAAATGCTTGCCAACCAGAACTTTGGCATTTCAAAATGAAAGACAGGCTCCAGGTCACAAATCCAGTAAGGAGAGATTGACAGCCTTGTGCTTTTCTAATGCATCAGGAACACACAAACTAACACCAGTAGTTATCAGCAAAGTGAAAAGACCAAACTCTTTTAAAGGAACAGTAGCTTCAAGTCTGCCTATCCATTATTTTAATCAGAAAGGAGCTTGGATAAATAGAGCAATGTTTAAAGAATGGTTTGATTTTAAATTTGTGCCTCATGTTCGTGACCATTTAAAATCCCAAGGCCTACCTGAGAAAGCTGTGCTCCTCATTGACAATGCAACCTCACATCCTAACGAAAGTCTCCTGAGGTCAGATGATGGAAATATTTTTGTGAAATATTTTCCTCCTAATGTTACCACACTTATCCAACCAATGGATCAAGGAGTTATCTCAAGTATGAAGAGAATCTACAGATCAAATTTGCTACAAAAGTACACTGATGAAGGCAGTGATCTGACGTGTTTCTGGAAGTCTTTTTCAATGTTAGATGCCATATACAAGATTTCAATGGTGTGAGATACAGTAAAGCCACCTGTATTGAAAAATTCATGGAAGAAACTGAT